TTATGCTAAAGGACTAAATACAGACCTGATGGAATTGCAGCAAGTCAGGAGGAGAGAGGGAAGGTTGGTTTAGCTGGAGGTGGTTTTAACTCTGATCCCCTTTCTCTCTCTGTTGGTGAAAAGGGCTTTGGGGCTGAGGTTACAGACCAGCACAGCTCAGTGCAGTCCAGTCACAGAAAGTTGCTGAACCCAGAAGCAAATATCTAATTTCTATATCTCAACTGATTTGGAGAGGAGTGTAGTATTTGGAGAAAATACTTGAATTCAGATGACATTAAAATGTGAAAGGAGGCCAAAGTGAGCAAAAAGCACAGGAGAGGCATGTGGGGTCTGCCTGCCCCTGCCACGGCCCAGCCCTCAGGTGCTGTGGGCTGCTGGGCTGGGCTGCCCTCCTCAGTGCAGGGGAGGGTGGGCTTCCTGTCCCCTGAGCACTCAGCCTGCCACCTGCACCCTGTCAGGGCTTTTGCACAAGTGCTCTGAAGCACTTCAGCCTGGGTGAATCAGGATGACACAGTCTGAGACAGGGAGAAAGGGCAAAGGGGAGAGAGAGCAGACTTTTTTTTTTTCTCCTTTGCTTTTTTAAAGCTGTTATTTTGGGTGGACAAAGGAGCAAGTTTGCCAAAAGCCTTAGAAATAAAAGATTTTTTGGACTTCAACAATAGTACTATTCTTGCCAAAAATCACATTATGTCCCACTTCATTTGAGCTGTTGAATAGTTATGTCATGCAAGAAGGTGGATGAAGGAGAAAAGCCCCCCAACTCTTTCAGCTCGGTCAGTGCAATCAATAAAGCTCACAAAGGTAATTATTCTGTGATTTAAGGCCTGCTCTTCTGTTTGCAGTGTTATTTGCTTGCACTGACCAAAATGCCTTCAGGAACAAAAAGAAATTTAAACTCATGTAAAAATAATGTCTCTAGGAAGTGGTCTTCATCCCTCTCTTGTCCAATAACCTTCTTTCCTTTCTTCTACTTTTGGGGAATGGAATAATTTCCTTTTTTCTCAGGAGCAAGACTGAATTTTGCTTTTTGAAGGCATCTTCTTAGCAAAAGTGACTGGAGCCGTGCACAGCTGGCTCTTGAATATGGAGTTTCTGCTGAAAGTTCCCTGCTATTATCTTGACAATGTTATTATTATCAAAGCATGTCAATATTGGGTATGACAATGAGAGCTCACGGCAGGGAGTGGCACAGCCTGGCCAGCAGAGGAGGGGGGCCACTCTCAGTTGTGCCCCCTGATGCAAAAGCCATAATAATTTAATATTCTCATACTGAGATCTCCGTTTCCTCTGGCCTGTGCAAATCTGCCAAGTGCCTTTTTTGCATTGGCCAAATCACAAGGGCCATTCCTTGAGCGTTTTGCAAGACTTCAAATAGAGAATCATGCTGGTAATGACTTCAGGGCAGGATTGGAGGTTATGGTTTTGGCTTTTTTTTTCTAGGAATAAATGATTTAACTACTAAACTGAGGCAAGCTTCTAGCTTTTGGATGTGATTTATTTCAGGGTTGTGTTAAACTCGTTAGTAGATCAATCTTTTTCCATCTTTGCCAACCTGCTTAGCAGAAGCTAGGGAAGAGAAATCAGCTCAGTGTCATTGACTTGGTGGATTCTAAGTGTCATATACTGTAATCATTAACTACCAGCTGCATTATCTGGATATGTGTTTTATTTTTTTAGGACTATGTTTGTTCTCTGCTGCTAAAATCCATCGGCATATAGCAGGATATGTTACGTCTCATTGTAAAGACAAATAACTTGGCAAATTGATGCATTAGGTGATTTTAATGGATGTTTTTGCTTCTTTGCACAAATCTGCTGGCTCATAGAGAAGTCAGACATCAGGACTTTCATCTTCCTGGAAGACTGGCCCTTCAAACCCAGTTGTTTTTCTATCCCCTCTGAGTCCTGTTGGGATGTGTGGAGAAGGAGCTGTACTGAGTGAGCTGGGCTTGGCAAAACTGGCTGCTGAGGGTGAATTCTGTGGAGCATGTGAGTTGCTCTCAGCCAGCAGAAACCCCTCTGCTGTGTCTCAGCAGAACAACTCGGAAACAGAGCCATACATGAAAAATCACAGGCAGCAGTTGCTCACCCAAATGCTCTTCTGAGGAGTTTTCTCTCCTTCCTTCCCTTTTGCTCGTGTGTTTGCCTGTGTATATCCAGAGTGATAACACCTTGCACATAGATATACACCTGAAAATGTTAGAGCTAGCTCAGGCAAAGCTCACCAACACACACAGCGTTAGTTTCAAACGCATGCTGGAGATTCCCATGACCACAGGGGTGCTGCCCCTTGTTTAGCAGCCTGGTGGTCTGAAGCACCAGGGTCAGAGTGCACCTCTGGGGCTGTGTGTCTATTGTGTGCACTTCCAGCCTGGGCTGGAGAGAAGGATAATGGTGTCTGAGCAGGCTCCACTGCCCAGCCTGGGCCATTGGCCGCCTGGTCATGAATTATCATGGGAGATGCTGATGCTGGGTGGCCACTGAGGAACAGGGAAGGGAGGCCTCTCGCTCTGAACGTGGGTACTGGGAATGTGGCTTGGGTTAAGTCAGCTGGGGCAGCGGGGTTAGCACCCTTGATCTTCCTTTGTTGGAAGTTGTGGGATTTTTGGCAAGCGGAAAGCCAGGGCACAGGATTCCTGTGTTTCCCTGGGGCTGACCAGAGTCCTGGCAGCAGGGACACAAGCCCCTGTGTGTACAAGGCTGCCATTCATTTGTATGAGGAAGGTAGGACCTCTGCTGCTGCAGATACATATCACATGGACCGTGGGGAACACAGACCGGCAGGACACAGGGAGGTGGAGAGCATAGGGAGAAGCACTTGGACAGATTTGTCTGTTTTGATATGCCTGTTGTCTTGGAGACCAGGATAACATTTTGCTTGTTCTTGTGAGTTGCTGCAGTCTGTTCCTGTTCGCCTTTGGAAGCTGGTGAAGCTACAGCTGGGTACAACTGGAGAAGAAAAGAGCATGGGTTGTTGCTGCCAAATAAGGCAAATAAGGGGTTGCTTCAGGAAATTGAAGAGGTGATGTGACCCTTTATCCTGCTGATCTCAAGCCCCTTGTCACAGCCTGAAAACAGGGCTGCAGGCAGAAGGTAGATTTTTAGGTATGGATGTTTAAGGTAGCTCCTGTTCACTCGCTGTGGCTGCAATATCCCCGTGTTGCCCTGTTCTGCGCTCAGTAGAGTGTTCTTCTGGGCTTCTTAACTGTGTCTAAGCTGTTCACAACTCAGTGGGGTTAAGGAAGGAGTTCCTTCCTGGGACAGGTTTCTCTTGCCAACCATCACAAGGGATACCTGTGCCTTATGAAGCTGTTGTTCCTGACTGCAGTGCTTGGCAGCACAGCAGGCTGAGGGGGCCTTTGCCCACTGCAGGGAACAGCAGCTTAAACTTACACTGAACTTCCCCCAGAGGCTGGCAGAGTTGCATTGACCGTGAGCCTTGCCCAGGTACATGGGAGGTAGTTGCATTTCCATTGCTGCCTTTGCAGATCCCAATTCTGGGAAGGCTCAGCAGCATATTCATGCTCTCTGTTATTCCCTGTGGCTTTATGCTGAGCCAGTGCTTTCTGAGCAGCTGCCCTAATGTGCTGCTGGCATGATGGGGGTTGACTGGGACATCATCACCTCCTGGTCCTACTAATTGTGCTCATTTGCCATGCTGTGGCTTCCAGCACCATCTCAGAAACTCAAGGCTGTGAGAAGGATGGAGTGAAACCAATGCAAAGCGGGCCTGAAGTGGCTGCTCTCCTAAATGTCAGCTGCCCAACTAAATATAACCCCAAGAGTAGAATTTATGCTTTGCACTCCTTTGCTTTTTATTGTGGGGAGAAAAAAGCCAGGAGCTCAACGGGCTGTAACTTTAATAGGTCATTCCAGCCAGTGCTTACCTTTACAAAATCCTGCTAATGCTGGGAAGACAATACAGTGATCCAAAGCAGTGATGAGATTTTTTAGCAGCATTAACCGTCATGACCTAGCAAAATGAAAGAAAATGGTTTAACAGAACTGTCAGATCCAATATAGCTAATAAAGGCATGGATAAATGTTTATTACATACCGGAGACAGATCATTTCTGTACAGAAATTGAGGATGACCTTTACTGATAACTCTTATCTGCCTGATATCCTGAATAAGAAAAAGAGAGGGGGAGAGAGGGCTGCACTATTGCTGATATTTATGAAAGGTGGAGAAAAATTGCAATTTGCAGATGATGGTTTTTAGCCAAGGGCTCTCAGGAAAATAAAGATATGGAACTGTTCATTCTGGGCAAGGGACTCCAGGCTCTGACCTGGCCGCGTCAAATGTAATGAGTGTGTCCAACAAGAGCATTTCTGGGGAGAGTTGATTTTCATACATTTTATGTATATGCACACACGTATTTGTATGTTTGACTCCATGCACAGGGCAGTGTCAGTGGAATTCATACTGATTTTTCTCTATATTTAGGAAGCTCCACAGTTACTTGAGTAATGCTGCCCTGAGCCACCTTCCTTACAGCTGGGTTTGTGCACTGAGCACCCATAGCTGAAAGCAGGACTTCCAAGAAAGGCCAGCTGCCAAAAGCTCCTGCATAGACTCAGTGGCCAGACCTCTGGAAGGAAATGGCAAATGGAAGCCATGTATTTTGAGCTGTAAAGGCCATGTGAGCTTTTTAAGGGCATCTACCCACTCTGTTCCCCTTCCATACAAAGCGGCATATGAGGATTTGAAACACTGGTAATGCCAGTGCTGAACCTGTCAGATGAGGCTGCAGAAGTCCCACCCGACCCAGCAGCCAGGTAAATATGGGGGTCAAGAGGCAGACAGGTCAGCCTGGAGCATCAGGGGTGGGCTGGCAGAGTTCTGCTGACAGGGAAGCAAAGAACAAGCTAAACGCAGACCTTTTTCTACTCAGCCTAGAGTTCAAGCCCTGAAGACCTTGCTTTCCCGATGTTGTCAGTGTGCTGTAGAACTTGATGGGCTGAAAACACAGCGGCTGCCATGAGGGTGGGCCTATTCCAGAAGCTGGGCACATGGGAAACGTCACCTGTCAAACAACTGCCTGGAATGAGATGTGAGTGAAATCAGAATCAGGCCTACTACATGCAGTTCATAATAAATAATGCTGTCTCAGTAATGGCTGCAATTAGTTATGAACTTCAATCATTCCTACCGTTTCCATGTTGGCCAATTATGCTGCAGGAATTACCAAGTAACCCATAGCACATTAGCTCTCTGTAGTGCCATTGTTGGGAGGGCTCAGGTCACCAGCTCCTTGCAGGATGAATTAGCACGGCTCTCCCAGCACAATGGTGCTGGGCTGATTTACAGGGCTGGGAGCTGCCCCTTTGTCTGCTGGAAGTGTAGCAGCAGCACGCTGGAATCACAGGAGACTTACCAGTGAAATCACTGGGAGACTTACCCAGCCTTACAGGAACAATGGGAAGTGTGTTTTCTCTGGCTGTGCAGGTGACTTATTAGATGCTGACAGTAATTCTTAGGCCTGGTGGTGGTTCAGAAATAACCTGAAATTGGACTTTAAATGGTGCAATTTGAATCTGGGAAGACAAACACAATTAATGTGCTCACCTGACTCTAAGAGTAGCAGATAAAGGAATTACTTAAACTAGTGCTGATGAGTGGCTTAAAACTTGCATAGGCACGTGCCCTTGAGCTTATTAAAATGCCTTTTGGTTGGATTTTACAGGGCTGCAGAGGTGTGTAGGAGTGCTGTTTTCTGAGGGCAGGTGCTGGTTTTACTGTGGGAGAGCTCTTTGCTGTGTGCCTCGGCCGAACGCAGAGGGACAGTTGGTTCCTGCTGTTACAGTGCCTCCCGCCCTCGGTGCTCTGTGTCTGCCGATAGATTTGTTCGAACAACTGACGTGTCTCTTTACAAAGTTCGTCCTGTTCTATGGGAAATGCTATCCTGCAGTGCTAAAAGGCATTTCTGTCTTGGCAACCTGAAAATCCACAGTAGCTGAAGTGCTTGGATACTGTGAAGTTTCCAGGCCAGGCCCACAGTCACAGCACATTCTTTTGGGTGAGAAGAGCACTCTAATGGCTCTTTTTGGTGAAGTCTCAAGCTCTGAGTGTTGTTAACCTTCCTGGCAATAAATGAATTGGCAGTCTCAGTGCTTTTGCCTTGTCCATGGTCCCTGAGCTGTAGTTTGAAGATCTTGTAGCCCGGAATCACGGGCTACGTGGTTTCAGAGAGAATTATTTTAAAGCAGAAAATCTTGGGGAAATTAGTTGCAGTTTAAAAACAGAATATTTTGTCAAAATCAAATTTATTTCAATGAGGAACGATCACTCTAATGGCTGAGAAGAATGCAAAGATTCAATGAGGTATGAATAGCTGTAAGATGGTACAATTACCACCTCAGAAACAATATATTTGTAAAGTTAATTCCTCTTGAACATGAACAATCTCCTTACACTTGACCCCTCTCTATTGCTTCTTCCATGCTTGAACTCTCCTTGAACTTTGTAGATCCATCTTGAGAGTATGATATGGCCATCTCTTTTGCATCTGGTTATTTTAGCTCCAATTTGCAGCCCTAAAATGGCAATTATGGTGATATATTGCTCAAGTCACCCGACATGGATGAGTATCGGGATCAGCGCGTTTATGCACAGGAGTAGTGAATGGAGACTACAGCTATGATTTTAAATGACTTGATTAATTCTGAAACAACACTTCAGAGTCCATTACATCCAGCAGGTGTTGGGGTTCAGCCTACACTCCCATTGCCTATTCAGGCTGCCTTCCCCTTAAATTGCACAAGAATGTCATCTTTATTGGCCCCTTTTTTTGTGCTTAGCACTCAATTCCTCCCCCTCACCCTTCCTTTCTTTACAGTGGGACAGGAGGGGCAGGTTTGGGATAGAAGTGTCCCTGCTGAGGCTGCTGGCCTCTGTCAGTCTGCCCCTTGTCCCATGGGCAGTATTGCTGGGATGGAGAAAACGACAGCAAATCACTGAAATCATCTGAGCTTCAGGGCTGACTGGGTCTGGATAAAGCAGGGAGCACTGTGCTGAAAACTCTTGCCATACATCACTCTGTAGGGACAGCCTTTTGTAGGGATCAGTTGTCACGGGGCTTTATTATGTGCTTGTTGCCTTTATTGGAGTCTCTGTGGCCTGATCCCGATGCTCTCTGTGTCTTGTTTCAGCCAGAATAATTGCAGCAGTTTGGGGAGTTCAGCCCAGCAGAGCCACTGCTCCGACACAAACAAGGCCCTATTCAGGGAGAGCACTGGAAGGATGGCTCCATGGCCAGGGTGCTCCTTCCCATGAATAAGGGGACAAAAGTCTGGAGGTAATGAGAAGCACAGCATTGGAGTGTTTGTTTTACAGACAGTGGCTCATTCTGCAGGCTGTGCTCTGGAGGCAAGGGAAATTCTGTCTGGGGTCAGGAGTCTCCCCAGGGAAGAGGCTCCTGTTTGCCCTGAATCTGTAACTCCTCCCAGGAGAGGTGACAGTGCATGAGCCTGCTCCGGAGTCCATGGAAATCAGTGGGAGCCTCTCTGCATCACAGAATGTGCCTTAATAGGACAAGCTCAACGCTTGGCTGAAGTGTATGAGAGGATCTACTCGGAGACATTTATGGGGGAGGGAAAGGGTGCGGGACTTGCCCTAAGGCTCTGCTGGAAAGCATTTCTGGCTCAGACCCTCTGAGGGAGTGGAGGGATGATGTGTACAGAGCTCTGTAGGAAGCTGCTTGTCAGGCATCAGATGAGAAGTAGTTCTGTAGGGTTCAGACCTCTGTAAACAAACTGTCAGAAAAATGTCTGGCATGACATGGAAATGCAAAATATTGGGTTTGGGTTGTTGTGAGGTTTTGGTTTCATTTCTTATGGGAAAATACTTAGATTTTTCTATCTTGTGTTTTCCCTTGATGCTTCATCAGACTTCTATTTCATTTTTAGGGTAGATGGAAAATAGCATAGACTGTGCATCTGTGAAAATAGTGCTTTTCCTATAGGATGTTTAACTGCAGTGAGGAAGAAAACAACTTTGAGAAAGGTGCAGCCCTAAGTATTTGCAAGTGTTTGAAGTTTTTCTCTGTGTGAAGACAGTGATCTTCATTTTAGAGCACCGGTGGTATTTCTTTTAAGGTGAGGATGGAGCTTAATTGAAAACCAAAATCCGAATGTACCTAAACATTTGGATTGATTGAAATATGACCCTAGAAAGCTGAGAAGACCTAGGAGCAAACCTGGGCTGGATCCCAGGAGCAGGCAGCTGGGTGCTTTCCTAGCCTTGCATAATTCTGTTAATGTATTTTCTGTGTAATAACTTTACTTAACTCAAGTATCAGGTTGGACACTGAGCTCCCCAAAGGCTGCCTGGGGCTGTGTGTGCTGTAATGACACAGGTCCTTCCCTTGACAGATCTTTCTGTTTCCAGCCAGCGTTCACGTGACCTGTGCCCTGACCAAGAACCCACTGGACAGCAGAGGGTCAGTGCAAGACAAGCTTTTACCTCAGGGCTCCATGGCAAATGTCTGGTGCTGCCTGGGCTCACAGGCCAGCACCAGTTTACCTGCATTAAAAAGGGGAGCTTAAGAACCACCTTCTTCAGATGGAGACAAAGTCTTGCATTTCTGTGTAGTCTCCCCACAGAGAGCTGCCTCTCCTCCCACCCAAGCCAGCAAGGAGGCTCCTGCACCCGGGCACGGGCAACTGCAGGCGTTCACTGCGACTCCCAAACCAGGGGTTATTTTTATCCCAAATCCCATTTCTTAGCACTGTCAATTTTTCCCTTATGGGGAAATGAGAAGCCAGTGAAAGGGACTTTTGGTGACATCCCCCCTGTTTAATGAAGCTTGGAGTTCTGGGCAAGTGAGTCGAAGTGCCGTTATTATCTGCATGAGCGGGCGAGGCCGAGGGTCCAGCAGCGTGCACAGAGCTCCCGAAATGTGCACATTGATCACGGCTAATCAGAGTGCCCGGGTCAGGGGGGCTGCGGGGACCCAGGGGGCTGGAAAAATGACAAATGAAGCAGCAGAGCTCGGGGTTAATGCGATATTCAAACAGAATGAGGCATTCAGTTTCTTAGCAGCTTGTCACTTTTCCTTTCCTCTGATATTTTGCTGGAGACTGCAACCAAAAGGCGGAGAGAGTGTGAGAGTGTGTGAGAGAGCAGTGTCCTAACAGGGATGGGAGGAGGAAGTGCTTCAAGTAGATCCGAAGAGCAGAAGGGAAAGGTGTTGGGGAGTGCAGTCCTCCTGCATCCTCCTCACTTTCCCAGTGCTTTCCACTCTTTTAGAGTAGAACTCTTTTTTGGTTTTTTTCCAAAGATCATTCTGCTTTGGGACCTTTGTGGTTTCTACAGCCACCAACCTGTTACTCTGCAAAAAATGTACTCAGGCTGAATTGTGGCTGAAGTGGAGACGTTTGGGGTGCATCTTGGGCTGGAGCTCTGCTCCCCCAGGGCTAAGTGTAGCATTGTAAGAGGTGAAGAGCTGTGTGCGGTGCTGGGTTTTTTTTTCTGGAACCACTGCATTGAAGGCTGCAGGCAAAATATATGTGTTGGAAGCAGCACTCTTGCTTTATTTGGGCTTCTCATGACTTTGTGGCTTTTTCATGATAAATACCTCACCTGAGGAGTTTAAAGTATCTGTTAAAAATTCCCTGTATTTCCAGTGTTCTGCATGCTGGAAACACAGCTGGTAATGCACAGCAATTGTACTTTAGATGGCATAAATGGTATCTGCCAGCTCCTGTGTGTAATTGGACTGACCAGAGCACAGGTTTGGGGGTTCATTCCAGGCACCCTTGCTGGAAGTCCCTGCTGCCTGCTCTGGGCTCTCACCCAGGGTTATGGCTCAGTTGAGGCTAGTACACTCTCTGTGGAAATTAGCACCCTGTGCTCCAGGGAACCCTTAGCAAGAGCCTGCCTGGAATTAATGACTGGAGAGATTTCTTTGGTGCTGTCCAGGTTAGAGGGACAGAACGCTCTAAAGCATGAGAGAGGCTTGAGGAATTGAGGGTCAGAACTCCTGGAAGATGGTGCCGATTCAGTAATCCTCAGTTGCCATGCAGAGCACAGTGCTGAGCTCAGCTCTTGGGA